ATGTACATAAAGGAGAAAAAAATGAGGCTCACCTTGAGATTAGTAAATAAATTCATTGTGGTGAGAGGAGTATGGTGACTAGTTGCACATCAAAAATCTCAATATTTTAAGTTTACCCCCATAGGTTTTCTTTAAAACAGAAAAGACCTTTGAGGATAGAATTTTTAAAAAATGACGTTTTATGAAAGCTCCAAGAATTACACTGCATCTGATTTTATACTCAGTCTAATTCTAACTGATGAACTAAACAGACTCATTCCAGTCTCCCTAACAGATATCCTAAGTAATTTAGAAGAAACAGGATCTAAAAACTAGAATTCATCTTTAAAACAGTAATTTATCAACTTTTTAACTATCAGTGAGAAAGCTACCATGTATTTTATCTTAAGCAACAGCTGATTTACTGAGGCTTCTATGAGATAACTAAAACAATGTAAACATCACTTATTGCCAGCATCTATGCTTTTTTTAATGAATAAAATACTATATATCAAAGCTGGGTTTGCATTTAAACTGCCAGCTTAATTGTGGTAAGTCTTTTACAATTATAACATAAGGCTGTTTAAAGGTTAGTATTCTTTTTTCTAAAAATACTAGACAGTGAAAACATTTACATAATACATAAAGAGAATGAATCAAAGTCAATCCTTGAACTCAGTATATTTTAACCAGAGAGTAAACTAATGCTGCATTTTAAATTTCTGGTTGAAGGAAAAGATTCACACATGTTATACACAAGGACAATTTTAATCCTCCATTATCCTGCAGTAACATCCACTGCTGGCTTTATATGGATTAAAACTGCATTTGCCAAGAACTGTGAACATTGAGAATCTTTACATGAAGTCACATGGTTGATACAGGCACATAGACGTCTTCCAGCACCAACAGCATACACAACACATACCAAATGGTCTTGATGGATAAATTTGCTTCATCAGATACTCATATTTAGTAAAATTCACAGTTAATGCAGAATTTCATTTTAATTTGCATCTTTATTACACATTTTTTCTGAGATTTTAATTATTTAAAAAAACCCACTCATTCATTCAAAGTTGTAATTTGCAGGACAATAAACGATGGGTTCTAAATTTCTTAAAGGTGTCCATAGCAATTTAAAATACCAGGAGTCTTCTTTTCAATTTGTAGCACCTGACTTAAGACCTTTATAAAAACAAAGTTTAAATTCATTTAGTGCATTCATTAAAATTCGTTGTCACTGTTTCTCTTGAGAAAGACTCGTTTCAATTGTTATTTCCCAGACTACCTATATATAGAGAGAGAGCATGGGTGTATATTCTTTTTAATTGGGTAGAATTTTATTCTCAGAATTTATAGCTAGAACAAGAACTTGCAGCATCTCTGAATGGTCTTTCACTCCAAACAATGGTGATCATGTATAAAATGGATTTGGGATCTGACCCCCTACTTAACATCACCAAACATGTTTCCGAAGTATTCTTGGAAAATATTTAAAAATATATGAAAATTCTACCATATGGTGCACCTTCATTCTCTAACCATTTCCCAATTGTTCATTTATATCAGTTGCAATTTTTCTATGAGTAACATTGCGATGAACACCCTCACCCACAGTTCTAAGCAAGAATGATTCTATCTTTAGGATAATGTCAACTAAGTGGCTTACTGGGTCAGACTGCAGATGGTTTTAAGGCTTTAGTATACTTTACCAAATAATCTCCAGAACTGAACAACTCCTACCAACATTAAGTTAATGTGACCACAGAGTGGACTTGGTTGGTAACAATGAAGCAAATTCAACCACAAATCTATTTGATGCCCAAGCATCTCAAAACTATCACACCAAAGAAGCAAGGAGACAATCATTAATGGTGATGAAGCCAAAATTCAAATTCTTTAAAACATTACGCGGCTTTAAATCATGATTTAATTAAATCACGACTATTTTTAAGAAAATTAACTCATTAAATCATGATTATTTTAAGAAACAGAAAAGCTTTGCACAAAAAATCTAGTGTTTTTCCAAAAATAAAAAGTTAAAAAGAGAAAGAGAAAAGTCAGTACCAAATGACCAAAAATTTTTATTTGACTAAATTCTATTTCATGCATAAGCATGACAGTCTCCCTGTTTATTAGACTTTGGCAATAAAAAAAACAAGCAGCCTTATACAGAACAGTGAAAATGCCAAGGGTGAGGGTAGTCTACAGTTTTACTGTAGGATAAATATATATATTTTTAAAAGGCCTCTCTCCCTTTGGCCATATCAACTCTCAGTTCAAATCATTAAATAGAGACAAATTTTCAAAATCACTTCTTTACTTCTCCAAGATCTTCGATGCTATCATCATCCACCTATAAAACACAAATAATTACATCTCGTGAATTGTGGTATCAAATAACACGGAAGAATCTTGCTTTAAAAACTTATTTCCACAGATGCACACATTCTACCTACTCACCTCTGGCCATTTTTCCTGAATGACATCAATTATGTCATCTGTAAAGTCTCCCTGAATGATGATTTCATCCTCTCCTGTCACTGAGGCACCACAGGAGAATTTTTGAGCAAAAAATCTTTGTGCTTCTTTTAGATCAATTTCTGTTATTTATAAAAAAAGAAATAGCAAGACTATAATTGGAATCGTATCAAAGACATTTTTCCATTTTTAAATTTAATCTTCATCTTAAATTCATAAAACAGATCACCTTGATGGGTTTTGTATTCCTTTCAGAATTACAAACTACCATAGGCAGTGGTCCTAACAACTCAACTCATTATTTTCAAGGTCAAATAAAGCTTCAGTACATAAAAACAGCATTTTTCGTAACTCATATAGTAAGACCCAAATAAATCCAGGAACACATTGATTCCAAGCATTATACGTACATTTCCAAGTACAACAAAGTTCCTTTGTTTATCCCTTTTTACAAGACAAAAATTTACAGCAGGGAAACAAACCTACTATCTCATGATTGTTTTTTAACCTGCGCTGTCGCAAGAAGGGACTCTGGTTTACAATTTTGCTGTTCATTCAAGGCCTCCACGAGAAGCTCTGAAGCAGGACACTGGGCCAATATCCACCTTCCCTCACCCTCTACTGTCATTCCCAGAGGGCACGAGCCATTTTGCTACTCTGCCATCCAAGCCTGCAGGGACAGAGGCGCAATACTGATAGGCTTCAAAAGATATCCTACCTAGCCCTTCTCATTCCACATAAAATGTGCCCAAGCAGGAATTCTGGGAAGGAAAAAGTTAAACTAGTCCCCTCTGCAAAAGATTTTTAAATTTCTTCAAAATTTGATTTTGGAGCTATAGTTAGAAATGCAAAATCTCATTTTGTATCTTCTTAGCAAAAAATAGATCTGTGAAATTTTCATGATGTCGGATGGTAACAGAGAAAGAGACGGAAAGAGCAAGATAAAGACAGGGAGAGGGAGGGAAGGAGGCAGAGAGCAAGAGAGAAGATAGTTCACACATCTTAAACATACTTAACTCACCAAAAGTTGCAAGGCCACATACTCTTGTTACATATTTCTTCTTTGCTCTGGGAATTTTGGCTATCGTAACCTTTTGTGGTACGGTCTTCTTTTTTTGCTTTATTTGACCCCTTCCACCTTTATTTATTAAAAAAGAGCTCAGCATTAATTGTTTCGTGTTTAACATACAGAATACTGTCTCTAAGTTTGTTAATTTTCAAGATACCAAATATTAATTTCTAAAGTTTCTTCTTCTAATACAAAACTAATAAATACATGCATGAGTATTCATCCAATAAATACTAACTAATTAATATGTGCCAGCCAAGCACTGTATTAAGGGCTGAGAACACAAAGATGAACAGAAGAAAACACAGTCCCTGCCCTCCAGGGACTCTCAGTCTAGTGAAGGGAGACAAAAAAAGCTTAATAAGTACTGCAACCTGATATATACTATAATAGGATCCATGAATACTGCACTACCATAGCTTTGCAGAGGAATGGCTTACTATGCTTCCAGAGGACAGAAATGGTTTCTGAGAAGAAATGGCATTTAAATTCTTATAGAATAAGAACTGTCCAGATGAAAGCAGAAGGGCTGGAGAGACACAGTAAAAAAGGAACCCCAGAAGAAAGGAGCAAGTACAAAGATAAGAGAAGGCATTATATTTGAGAACCACGATTGTCCTGATGAAGGATGCTTACGAACGTGTTGCAGATAAAGCCAGAAAAGCAAAAGATCACCTACCGGTCATTAAAGGACTAGTGCAAGAAGCTGTTACTAGACTTTATATCGAAGCAGAAGAAAAGCCACTGAACAACTATAGAGGAGTCAAATTACCAGATTTAGGTTTTATGAGATCAATCTACAGTGTGGAGCGTGAGCGTTTGAAGAGTAAGGCTGTCAGGGAGGCCACTAGAGGCTCCTACATTAGTTCAGATGAAAATTAATCAAAATCTAACAAAGTAGTGATAACAGCAATGGTGACTAGGCACAGGATAAAGAGAGTAAGGAGAAGAAACACAACAGAATTTAGAAATGACTAAAAGGAGTAAAGAGGACCCAAGAGGAGTCTCAGGTTTCTGGCTCAGATGACTGGATAAAGTATGCTGTCATTAACCAAAACACATAGATTTGGGACTTAGTAAGGTTTTTTGGCATACTGCTTTTGAGATGCCTGTGGGACCATGCACATTGCCAGTCTAGAGACAGAGGCCAGGAATTTCAAGCGTACTAGAGGTACAGGAATTTCAAGTGTGGAGTGGTGTCAGCAGTGAGGGATGTGAAAGAATCACTCAGGGAGAAAGCTGCAGAATGAGAAGGTATGAGGGCCGAGGACAGGATCCCGGGAAATACAGCTCTTTAGGGACAGATAAGAAGTCTGTATAGAAGACCAAAGAGGAGTGACAGGGAGAATGAAGAAAGAAGTCTATCACAAAAACCAAGGCAGTACATACAGCATTTCAAGAAGTGTGTGCTCGAACACTCTTTTTGGTTAGCAATTACTGAGCCACTGATGACCCCTGTTAGAGGAATTTCAGCAGCGTGACAGTCAGCTTAGGATGGAATGAGGCATGAACAATGAGGGACAGAAGAGCAAGGATGTGAGTCCAGTCTTACTAAAGAAGTCTGGCTAAGAAGGGCAGGGCAAGGAATAAGGTAACGACATGGACTTTTGAGGGAATTTTTCTTGAAAGATGCAAAGTCCTTATTAATAAGCTAATTTTAGTCACAGGGGAGAATAATTAAGGAAGAAGAAACAGGCAGGGACAAGATCCAGAGTACAGGAATTCATTTTACAAGGAGGAGAAATAAGTATATGCAACAGTTGTTTTAAAAAAAATTCAGGGGCGCCTACGTGGTTCAGTCAGTTAAGCGTCAGACTTCGGCTCAGGTCATGATCTCACAGTTTGTGAGTTCAAGCCCTGTGTAGGGCTCTGTGCTGACAGTTAGGAGCCTGGACCCTGCTTCAGATTCTGTGTCTCCCTCTCTGCCCCTCCCCCACTCACACACTGTCTCTCTTTCTCAAGATAAATAAACATTAAAAAAAATTTTTTTTAATTCAACTGAGCTGACATGAGAGAATAAAATCTTTTATAAACATCCTCACTCCAACTAAATAGAATACAAAGGTAACAAAGTTTTCAAGTCATAAACAAGGTGGTTGATTGCTTTTTACATATGTACGCAGCAAATAAAGCATGTTTTCGTAGGTCCAATTTACCGATAAAGCCCAAATCATATGACATCCAGTAATCTTGAGAATATGATTCTGTCTCATTCTGTAGGGTATACATATGGAACTAAAATAGCAGGTAGGTATTGCTGCCTTTGGGACTGTCTTCATTTCGTATTTCCTCTGGTAGAGGAAAGGTGTGTTTATATAAATCACGCCACAGATTTAGGCCTTACCTCTCTTCTGCTTTTTCTTCTCTTCTTCTTCCCCTGCTGTGCCTTGACCCTCACTAATTCCAGATTCTTGTTTGGGCGAATTTTCTAGATTTAACAATTAAATCCAAAAGGATTAACAATCACTTTAGAATAACCTTAAAACATCAATTCTGAGCAACTTCTTATACAATTAAGGCATCTTGCCAACAACCGAGCATGTCATTTATAAAGCAAATGATTATACTGCTAACTTCTTATCGAGTCTAATTCTGGTCATTATGGTAAAGTGTATGGTGATAGAAGACAAAATAAAGTCTTGGACGTGAGAGGATTAGGATCCTTTTAGCCACATGAAAGCAGCATAAAACACTCAGACCCTGCAGGAGTGTTTAGCATCTAAACATACTATCTAGGTAACAGGAAGTCTGATCCTGAGTAAGACGACTCCCTCCTCAGGTCATATCATGACCTACACAGCTCATGTCCAGGGCTGACCATGACCATGCAGACTGACTGTAACAACCAACTTTAGGGTTCTTCTCCAACCACGGACAATGACTATGTAGCTACTATCCAAAAGGGCCTTAGGGATCGTGCGTCTTGGAAACAATCGGAAAATCAAAACAGCAAACAATGGAATAACGTCAGTACATCTGATAGGCCTGTTCCCAGCCCAGGCTTTCCCTTCTTCCTGCCACTGCCTTCATTTCCAGCAATCTTGTAACAGAAGCCAACATTTGAACAAAATGAAGAAATCTGTTCCTCTGCAGGCTTCCTTTCCTCTGGCAACAGCAACTCCCATTTTTCTAGTTGCCAAAACCCTGAATGCCTCCTTTTCTCACATCCCACATGTAACACATCAAAAAACCCTGTCAGCTCTACCTCCAAAACATATTGAGAATCTGACCACTTTTCACCACCTCCACCACTACCATTCTGGTCAGGTCGTCATGGTCTCCCGACCTGATCATTGCCACGGCCTCTTACCTGCCTGTGCCCTCTTCAGTCTATTCTTTAGCACAGCAGCCTAAGAGATGACGCTGAACAAAAGTTAGACCTTACTGCTCTTCCGTTCAGATCTCTCCAATAGCTCATCTGATTCTGAATGAAAGCCAAGACTTGGCGTCGAAGGTGTGGTCCTCCATTACTTCTCTGACTTCATCTCTGACCCTCCTTCCCCTCCTTCCATAAGCTCCAGACAAGACACAAGCTCCTTGATGTTTCCTGAATATGACAGGTAAGCTCTTGCCTTAGGGACTCTGCACTTGCACTGCACCTGGAATGTTCTCCCGGATATCCAAATGACTCACTCCCTCCCTTCCTTTAGGTCTTTGTTCAAACGCCGTCTTTTCAGCAAAATCTTCTCTGCCCCCACCTAAAATTTCAGATTCCCTTCCCAACAATTCTTATCTCCCCATTCCCTACTTATCACTATTTAACATACTTATTTTGTCTTGTTTTACCCTTCTAGAATATCATTTCCAAAGAGTAAAGCTTTTGTTTACTGCTTTATCCTCAGCATCTAGACAATGTGTAGTATATAGTATGCTCACAAGAAATAATTTGTTAAATGAAGGAGTGAAAATACATATGCCCCTAAACTATTACTCTTGTTATAAGAAAGTTGTTCTAAGCTATCTGTGAGAGATAAGACACATGAAACAGTGTGTGATTCTATATAAGAAATTTTAACCCAAGAATGTAAAGTGGTTTTAAAGCCAATAGCTATAAATACAATTTTGTAATCTCCTACTAAAGGAGCTCGTTCATATCTTTATAATAATGCCTTATGTGCATTTGTTTCAGGTACAGAAGTTTTGATGAAAGAAAAAAATGCTCATACCTACAGTAAGTTTTGCAAACTCATTTGGAAAATTCTTCTCTAACCACTGTCGACATTTAGCGACATCAGGCATATATTCACAGTACTGAGGGAGGCAGGGAGGGGAGGAGAACAAACTGAGTCACAACAGAACATTTTCAGTCAACCAGTACATTTTAATTAAAAGTCATTTCCTAAAGTTGCTATATTAAGAAGGATGAAACTAACTACTCCCACCTGACATCTTATCCACAGGAATTCGGTGTTCCACCAGGAAATGCCCCATGAGAAATTAGAATTTAAAAAGGATTAGGCACCTCCTCACTGCGGTACTTTATTTTCTCTCCATCAAACAGAAGGGCCATTAGAAAAAGGAGCAAACAGACAAAAACAAGCATGCTTATTTTTGCTTTGGGCACACAGGTGTCTCACTATTTCTGTGACTTGCCCACAGAGCCTGACTCAGAAACTTACTAACAGAAAATCTTACACATAATTTAATTTATGCTCTCCTCTGCTTAGACATTAGATTCTGGCTTTAAGGCTACCCTTGCTTTATTAGCTAATGATTCATGAGTTCCATGCAAAAGTCCAAACTGTCTAGTCAAGTGCAAGGGATGTACACATATGATTCAAAGTCTAAAGAAAACAATTTGTAAGACCATAAAATCATTCAGTTCTCTACAAAAAGCTGAAACTCTACAATTAAATGATAGAAAATGAAAAATTAAAAAAAGCTCTCAGGCTAGCTCTAAAGTCAATAACCTCAAATGCAGAAGTTAAAGAAACAAAAGAATTTTAAAAGAACTTACCTCTGTTGGTAATGAGCAGACTGGGGAAATGCAGAGAAAAGAAAGATTAGAAAATTTAAATATATATAAACACACAGGGCGCATCGTAACTTTTATTTTAAATTTGACAAAATGCTTCATTTCTACTTTTTCCTATAATTCTGAACCACTTTTCGAATACCACCCATGCTTTTTTTTTTTTTTGAGGTAAAAGGCACATAATTAATAAAAGTATGATTTTTTTTTTTTTTTTTTTTTAATTTGAAAGAGTGCTCCAAGAGGCATGAGTATAGGAGGGGCAGGAGAGAGAGGACAGAATCTGGGCAGGTGCCCAGCACTGTCAGCACAGAGCCCAAGGCGGGGCTCAAAGTCACTAACTGTGAGATCATGACCTGAGCTGAAATCAAGAGTTGAACGCTTAACCAACTGAGCTACCCAGGTGCACCAAATTTTATTTTTTATCTAAACAAGATTCTATCCCTCAGCTGATGGAGCATCAAACTATACTATCCTGTATATCTTAAGGTTTTCCAGAAACACTTCAATGGGTCTGAAGCTAAGCTGAGAACAAGTAAAGCTTGAATGAAACTGGTTATTTATTTATTTTTTTTTTTTTTAATTTTTTGACAGAGAATCTTAAACAGGCTTTACTCACAGCACAAAGCCACACTGGGCTTGATCCCATGATCCTGGGATCACAACCTGAGTCAAAATCAAGAGTCAACCAACGGAACACCACCCAGGCACCCCTGACAATTGTTATTTCTTTTGATAGCTTTACCACAATAGCCACTAGTTTTCATTCATACTAACACATTTATAGACTTCAATAGCACTTTTGCTACCACCTCTTCGCAGTTAGTATTTCTTTTTCTTTTTCATATTATGCTACACAAGATTATGCAACTGTAAAGCTACAGGGAATGCTGGTTCAAGCTCATCATTGTTGTACAGGCTAACGCACTCGAAGAACTCAAAAGGTTTCCTAATTTTAAATATAATTCTGTTACTGGGTCAATTGCTTATTTTGTTTTTATTTCTAAGGTGATGAATGGAGTACTTCAGTGTGTCCAAGATCTTGAGATCGGTGAGGGAGAAGAGGGGTGGTGCGCCATTACTCACAACAGCAATTATCTTTATGTCCATTATTATGTGTCATCATCACAACCCTGGAGTAATCACACCTGTATTACCGAAGAGAAAGAGGAGACTTCAAGTAAGTAACCCACTGCATCTGGTTAGTAAAACAGGATTTGAACCCTGGTCTGTTTCTGAAGCTCACACTCTTAAGCACTGAATCGGATTACATGACACACACAGGTAGTGCAGCTGTGTGCCAGACTCGTGACAGAGGTATGCCTTCTCCTCACCTCACTATTTTATAGATGAAGCTCTCAAAACAGGTTAAAGAGCTCAGCCAATGACAAAGGTGGTATGTGGCAGAAGAAAACTAGCAATCTAGCACCTCTTTATTTCAAGTGTAGAGTTCCTTCCACCAAAGCACTCCCTGGTTAGCTAGAGATCTGAAAGTTCAAATACCAGTAGGTACAGACATCCAGCCACAGTTCAGGATATAATTATAGGTTAAATGCCATTACAGCAAATATGAAAGCTATATAACTTTGTACGCCATTTCAAAGACTATTCAGTTCAACAAAATTCTAATACAATGTAAAAATTTGGACAAGTCTTCCGGGTTCACTGTTACTTGCTTTCAAAGTCAATTTTGGGGCGCCTGGGTGGCTCAGTCGGTTAAACGTCTGACTTCGGCTCAGGTCACGATCTTACAGCTTGTGGGTTCAGGCCCCGTGTCGGGCTCTGTGCTGACAGCTCAGAGCCTAGAGCCTGTTTTGGATTCTGTGTCTCCATCTCTCTCTCAGCCCCTCCCCGACTCATGCTCTGGCTCTCTCTCTCTCTCAAAAATAAGTAAACATCAAAAAAATAATAATA